TAATATGACTCAATGATTCAGTGGGAAGAGTAGAAAAATTGGGATGCGATTCACAAGTCTTGGCTACATGAATTCGTGGAGAATATTTAGTATACGGGCACTATTGAAATAGAAAGACTAACAGATAAGTCATACTTGACAAGAATCTATCAAAATCAACGAGAAAGCTCCAATACCAAATCACCAAAGTCTAATTGGTCAAATTCGTAAGCCGTCTTCACAAGATAGAGAAAAATTGATAGTATGTTCGCTACCAAGACGTTGGATTCAATACACCGCGGCAGGGAATGATAGATTGAGACGGTATATACGCGTCCGTCCACATTACTAGAGGTGGAAGGACGGTTCAAGTAGCGGCACATTTTCTGTTGGTCTTTTGGCATCTTGACTTGAAAACTTCGGGTTTGACAGGAGATGAATTTTGAACGATTGAAGGAGAAAAAATCGATACACAAGTAAAAGTGTCCATGCAAGACGCTCGCATCAAACCCGAATGCGCTTCCTCTCATCCATTCCATCCGGAAAATCATGACGAACAACCAGGTTTGATATATTAACACATGAATGCTATCCACCCGTGACGACGCAGGCAATTCCTTGACCACCACGTGTGCACAAGGAATGAAAGTACTATGAAAGAAAGCACCGAAGTACACACACAATAGAAGTTTAATCACTCATCATGATCTCCATCTTGCGTGATCCCTCCCTATCAAGATTCGAGAATATCATACCACGTACCAAGTCTAATAACTTAAAAAGAAAAATCAATATAAATTAGAGGATATTACGCGTACGTGGTACACATGAATGGATGAACTTTTCTTGTTAGCTCGCTTTCGGGTGGTGCTCCTGCAACTGGGAAGAGCCTCATCTCATAGCTGTCTATCTACACTAGACCTAGACTGGAGACTAGGTAGGTAGGTGTACGAAGTAATAAGTATGGAGGAAGCTATGACCATTAAATAGCATATCGCGCGGCTTTGAAGTTTGAAGTTTGAAGTTTGAAGTGTACTTGAAGGGTGCCTGATAGGAGGGAGGCTGTGTAGGTTTTAAAATGCTGTTCGGTATATATCAATACCTTATGACACCGAGATATGTAAAATACCCGCGTGTGAAGATCAGACTTAATGGAGGTTACGATTGGAGCGCTTGAAAGCTTTAAAAAGACATTTGATATACACATAGTACTTAATTTACCTGAGATTTTGAAGCTTTGAGCTTGCTTACAAACGTCCCATACTGCATATATTTCAGCTGAACATATTGTCCACTTCCTGCGGCTCGGCCGACAACAAAGTTTTATATGAGACGACTATATTCTCCGTTCGGTGATTTGAAGGAATATTTTCGATTCTAATGTCTGCTTTTGGAAGAGCTGCTGGTTGGGTAAAGAGAAAGGAGCGCTTGTTTGATATGATACACATATATGGAAATGTTCTAAATGGGTAAATTCAATGGATAAATATCAAAAATAGACGCTGGGCTGATGATGCTTAGCTTGGCGTGGTGAATTAAGGGTCGTTGAGTGATTCGATCAGTAGGGGGGAAGGAAGTGTTCTTCCTGATCTCCTGTGTTGACGTCTCTCTACCGGTACGTATTTCTCCTATCGTCCGATTGTTATACCTCCCTTTCTTGACCTTTTGTATTCAAACCCAAATACACAGATATCTTAATTGAAGTAAATCTCAATTACTGTAAATAAAATCCATCATACCAAAGCTTAACTCAAACTCTATCTATTCCATTCATCAATCATAAACCATGAACCCTTTTTCCACGTGCCGTCACCCTTCATTCTCGCTAAACCGGTGTGTACTTAACCAGCCAAACACACCACGCCACAAGGGGTAGCCAGCCGCGCAATCTTTTAATCAGACTAAACCCTTTCTGAGAATCAGAGCGCCGATGCCAAGAAAAAACGCGTATGCCTTGTGGTTTTAAAAGATTATGGGGAAAATTATTTTTACGAATCAGAAATATGGGGATGAGATTGAGTTTTTTGGTGAGGTCTGGATTTTGATGATTTTTAGATGCCAAGATTCAAGAAGTGTTGGAATTGATATTAGTACGAGGGGAAGGGAGACGAGAAATAAGGGAGACGAAGATAACGAAGTCGTTGTTATTGTTGTCGTTGACTGAGATAGTCTTCGTGTAAATTTATATCCACGTGTTGTGGTATACGAATACTCCCGAGGTTCTCAAAACAACTTATCTCTGCCAAGATCGATTGCGTGTATCTATATCAAAATCTTTGATACCAAGACGAACGAGGAGCTTGAACGAAGTATAATCGACGGGTTTATTTGTTCCGCCATGGCATTGTTATGTTGAGAAACGAATGCCATAGGCACTGAGTCAGAGGTATTTGTAGATAACTCATGATGAAGCACCTATTGTTCCTAAGATGATGACGGGTTCTCCAGTTTCCGATTGTATGTGTACGAATCTTTGAAGGAAACGAAAGACCTAGTGTACAAAGTATATTTATGAGGCTCAAACTGAGGGGTATGATTTCGTTTCGTATGTAGTTGATGACGAACTTTTCTGTATATATGTGGATTTTGAATTTTGGATTTCATACCTTGTGAACAATTTTGGGTGAGGTTGTGCTGGAAATTTAGAGATTTGATGATTGAGAAATGCAATTGTTCAGATGGCATAGTGAAAGGGAGATCTAGAGTTTTGATCTAGCATTATGTCTATACCTTTATGACTTTCTGTTAATATAATTCGTCTGATGTTTACATGACCAACTGTATGAATAAAGTAGCAATATATTATTACAGCACTCTAAGAAGTATGCCAAGTATCATCGGGTGAGATTGATCCATGGTAATCGTAACGTTGGCAAAAAGATCTACTATTGTCGTCGCAATATGGTTCATATGATACACGTTAGCCAAGAGATGTTGGAATCCTTCGTGAGGTTTTGAATCATCTTTTTCTAGTTCTAGAGAGATCTTCATTCATACCTAGAAAGATAGCTGAGAAGTTACAAAGATTGATATGGAGAAGCTCTACAATTCGGTGTAGATGAAAAAGATCTCGAATCTATGCGTCCAACCAATCATATCAGATAGAAAGATGATTTCAGTATTGAAATGAGTTGATCGCTTAAACAGAAGTCGTCGTCAGCTCCTGACTTTTTTCTTTCTTCTCATCTAATAGTCCACCAAAACGGTCAAACCATTCCTAGGTAGCCCACGTCAACCTTCTTTTAAGCTTCCGACTACCTATCAGTATCTAGTTACAACTAGGAGCTTTTCAGGTACCAAAAAGGTAGCATGTACATAGAAAAATGTAATGAGGCTTTCCTTAGATCTGGGTATTCGGAGGAATCTATTGATTTGTAAGATCACACAAAACATATATATCCTAAAACCGTCGAGTAAATGAAACCCCTCTGAGTATCCATTTTCTTCATGTACTTGGCATAATCTTGGCGATACAAAAGTTCCGAATACTAGTATGATAGAAATCCAGATTATCCAAACCAATTTGACTCTCCATTAACGTAGATTCTGAGTGCTGAGTCCCGATGAGCGGTTGATAGTAGACACCTAGATACTGAACCGCGCGTACGAATCTATTGCCAAGACGAATCCAAAATTTTGCAATAATTAAGCCAAATAAGTTGCTATGTACAGAGTAGAGTAGAGCAGAGTTAAAGAGCAAATTTACAACAGATTGATAATCATCTATCATTCCCATTTGAGGGGAAAATGGATAGATTCGGTATGGATAGTATGAATCTATCAATTGGGGAAGATGTCACAACTTACGACGCATGCCACGAGGATGTATGAATTGTTCAAGTCAATACTACCTACCACAGTACTCTTAGTTCCCTAAACATCTTTTTAACTTTTCTGGGTCCCCGGAAAAATCTTGGGATCTACTTTTTTGATCAGTCTAATTAAGTTATTAGACTCTAAATCTGAGTCCAAGGGAGGGAACTTACGCAGTACCGATAAATTCTTAGTCTAGTCGTACACTATCTTCGTACACCTCTAGCCTGGGCAGTGGGCATATCCATTTCTGTGTGTACCCATTTCTCAACCCATAACCATTCATTATTCTATTATACGAGTCTTTTGATTCTGTTCATTGTGAGAGAATACTATCTATTCTTTACTTTATCCTTCTTCCAACTCCATACCTATCTAGTTTTCCAGAACTAGGACGACTAAGAAGACTAAGACGACTAGGACAACTACGACGACCAAACTCGATTCTGTACTCAGCATTATCGCTTTCGCTTTCACTCCGAATTTGATTGAAGTTATTGATAAAGTCATAAAGATACCATTTCTTCCTCTTTCCACCCTTCCCCCCCCCCTCCCCTTCTCTGCCTACCCACCTAGCTAGATACTTCCAAACACCAACCTGACGAGGATCTATAAATTACGAATAATCCCTAGCCTAAATTCTATAAGCGAAAAGTGGCGATTGCGACCAAAAAAGTGCCTAAGTTCAATTTGGAGGGCTGTGCTCGAGGGACAAACTAGAGAGAGAGAGTTTGCGTGCGTGAGCGAGTGAGAGAGAGAGTAAAGAGTAAAGAAGAGAAATATTGATTGAAGATACAACTTTATTTTCTACCACTACTTTCATACTTATTACTTTACTTCATTTACCATTCAATCTTTTTTCTTCATTAAAATCCTTCCTTTTATCCTTGGAGGGTGTATTCGACTACGCACTGTTATCACGACCACTCCTCGGACGATACCACACCCCAAATTCCTCTTTCAATTATAGAATCAGCCACAATTTACACAAAGAGATACATACATCCTGATAGAGCGAGAGGGAGAGCGAAGAGAAGATTGGTTGTGAAGGTTGAAGATTGAAGGAGTGTCGAATCATCCTTTTCCCTTTTCGATACGGACCATACCATACCATACAATACAAGACCTCGACATTCGACATTCGACATTCAATTATTAATTCTCTCTTTCGACAACATCACCATCACCACCACCAACAATATCTCAAAATGGCCGATCGAAATGCACCAAATGGGGAATATGATGAAGCGTGGGCAAAAGATTTAAGACAACAATTCGAAGGGTTATTAAGGACGAAACGATTAAATGAATTGGATAAATCGAGGTCAAGAAATGCATCGCCATCACCAAGAGAAAGATCATCATCATCCAACTTACGAGCAACTTCTTCACAACAACAACAACAACAACAATCTTCAAACTTTCGTCCAACTTCTTCATCAAATAATTCAAACCCTTCAACCCCTCCTTCATATTCGTCCGTAAGAAACTTACCAAAGATTCCATCACCACCTGCAGATGTACAATCACAAAAGTTTCGAAATCTATTAATTTCCATCTCACAAACTCCTACGAAATATGAAAACCCAGGTTTATTGGATGAAGCTTTACAACACTTACCATTGGATAGGATATATGGAGAGGCAGAAGAGGAAAGTCAAATATTACAAGCGGAAGCTGAAAGTATGGGAGATGGAAGGAAACCAGAATGGGGTTATCAAGATTGTGTTATTAGAGCTCTATTGAGGTACGTTTGTTATGCTGTCTTTGATTTGCGCTTTGGCTCCCCGTCATTGCTCTGCCGCTTTGCTCTACGTTCCCGATATAACTGGTCCTAACATCTTATCAGATGGTTTAAACGTTCATTCTTTTCATGGGTCAACAATCCACCATGTCAAGTATGCATGTCACCTACAGTAGCCCAAGGCATGACACCACCTACACCCGACGAATCAGCATGCGGAGCAACAAAAGTCGAATTATATCGTTGTTCAGCGGGAGATTGTAGAGCATATGAAAGATTCCCTCGATATAGTGACGTATGGCAATTACTACAAACGCGCAAAGGAAGAGTAGGAGAATGGGCCAATTGTTTCAGCATGCTGTGTCGCGCAGTAGGAGGTCGTGTAAGATGGGTCTGGAATGTCGAAGATCATGTCTGGACGGAAGTTTATTCGGATACGAAAAAGAGATGGATTCATGTTGATGCTTGTGAAGAAGCTTGGGATAATCCGCGATTATATGCTGAGGGTTGGGGTAAGAAAATGTCTTACTGTATTGCCTTTTCAACGGATGGTGCAACAGATGTTACCAGAAGATATGTTCGAAAAGCGGATCATGCTCTTCCAAGAAACAAATGCCCGGAGGAAGTTATGCTATACATCCAAAACGAAATTCGAGGTCTTCGAAGATCAAATATGAATAAGGATGAGAGATTTCGTTTGGAAAAGGAAGATGCGAGGGAAGATAAGGAATTGAGAGGTTATGTTGTGGCATCCATTGCACAATCTGTTGTATCGGGATTGAGACCAGATGGATCTTCAAATCAACACATGGCAACCCCACCGCCACCTCAGAGACAAGAGGATCAGAAATTGCCGGCTGAACAACCTGGTAGACAAAGTGGTGCTCAAGAATGGGCTAATGCTAGAGGTGAAGCTGGAAGAAGAAGTCAACATCCAAGAGATCCTTCACAACATGGACCTTGAACTTGATTCGACAAACTGGAATTCATTCTTTATAAACAACAGCACAATCGACCCATCGATTCAAGGACTGGACCACTGGTGTCCTTCTTTTATGAAGGCCATGGCGCAGGTACCATAGCACCAACGTGAATAATCGAGCCGCGGATTTATCGCATCGACACCAATTAATCATCGCTCTCGAGGCAAGACACACCAACAAACACGAATTGATATCACCATCTTGTTACACAACATTATTCAATTCTAATATACACTCAGAATTACCATTTCACCCATCTTTCGTGGTGATTTGGAAGCCATTTATATTACCGGCTTGTACGCTATTTATTTGATATTCTATCATTTTGCGAGGAGTTTTGGAATCTGAAATACTATGCAATATACATACATACATAATTTTATTTGTTTACGGGGAAGGGGAGAGGGATGGGATGAAGGATAAGCTGTGGGTGGTTTGGATACTCTTGGACGAGAAACCAAATTCGGATGCACCCGTTATTCAGCTGGCGTTTTTTTCTTCTTTGGATTGAGGGAGTGAAGGAAGGAAGTAGCATTATGCACATCACACATTTTCTATGTTATTTGCAGTCATCATCGTGGGACGAATTTTAGGGAAGGATACGGAAGATTGAATTGGATGGATTGGGTGAAAGGCCTAGACTGGATTTGGATTGGGATATGGAATGGTAGATACCCTGGATGGGGGATTGGATATAGGACTGGCGTGGGGAAGAGAAGAGGAGGAGAGATGGAGATATATTGCTAGAAATTTGTCTGGATATATGTCTATATATCAGATAAGATGGATGGAGATGGGATAGGGTAACATAGCATGAGATAGGATGAGTGAATGAATGAATCAAAGCATGTTGGCTTTTTGAAATCTATAAATCTTGTATTACTCGTATTATCTTGGTGAAGTCATTGAATGAACGAATGTGATGAGAGATTTAGTTACCTAATAAGCATAGGCATCGGTAGGCGACGGCTGACCTGACCTGACCTGAGGTTACCTGTGAACGGTCGCTTGGTTGGCTTCTTGGTTGGCTTGCTTGCTTGCTTGAAGTGATGGGCTATGCACACATAACTGGCTGGCTGGAAGAAAGGGTCTATGGTTTTGGTGGTGGTCGTTGTGGTGGTCGTTGATTCGGATTTGTGTGTGATTAGATTGAGAAAAAGAAGGTCTCTAAGGGTTTAGATTTGATGGATGGGCTCTGTTTAGATCTCGATGGTTGTATGAGGATTTGATTGAATGTGATGAGATGACGGGGTGTGTATTTTACTCTTTCTTTTTCTCTTCTTGTTGAATTCTGGCTTTGAATATTACCTACCTGGGTAATTTAGAATGTTCATGCGATGGATGATATGGTGGTGATATTGGTGATGGCTATATAATTTTAACCCAGGATCGATCAAACTTTTATATTGCTTGTTTTATGGCTTTTACAATTTTCTCTTCTCTCTGGGAGACGTGTGATCTTGTATCTTCTTTACTACTCAAGTGAATACATTCCAATTCCAATTCCAATTCCAATTCCAATTCACTTGGTGTTGGTATTGATGGTGATGGTGATTCTTCTTATCAACTCCTGCAACCAAGGACTGTCGGTGAAGCAAAGGAAGGAAGGGATTTAATTGAGACAGACAGTTGGTTGAATTAATTAGATGTGGGGTATGAGAGGTCGGCTCATGGTTGAAGAAAAGGAAAAAAATTCAGAAAATTTGACCTACATACCAGACCATACCCTACATGTACATAATCAACGAGGCCGACAACTTCACCGTTTTGGTTTTCATTCATAAGCTAGATTTTCCTACACGAGGAGGAAGGAGTTTTTTGTTTCTGGGGCTGTTTTTTTGAGGAGTTTTTATTTTACACACATTTGATTATTTGATTGCTTGATTGGAGATTTGCTTGGGAAGGAACGCTTTGTCTTTGCTTGGGTATATCAATTCCCTATTATCGGTACTGATACTTCTGCTTGGTGGTGGATGATACATTACGATTGACCATACTACTATACTCGATTGGATAGTAACAAATTGAAGTTTTCATTTGTTGCACGCCCTCTAGTATAGCTAGTATTACGATCGTTCGACTTTCCCAATTTCTTCACGGGAATTCAGATACGGGAAAGTGCTGCAGCAAAGGAAGGAAGGGAAAGAAGGAAAATGTCAGGTGAAAATTGTACTGGGCAAGTAACATCTGGCGAAACGACAGCGAGGAACTCGAGGGAATTGGAGATTGAAAGTCACGAAGCATACGACCGACACAAGAAGATTAGAAACGATAATAGAGGAATTCCAAAAATTGTGATTCCGCACGAGAACGAAACGGAGACTTACACGTTGGATACGCAATCGGAACAGAGGAGATTGGATGCGAGCAAATTTCGGAAGGGAGAGGGAAAATTGAACACGGAATCAAGGGAATCGAGAAATTTGGAATCGAGAAATATTCATTTGGAAACTGAAAGGTTGGAAGTCCCAAGACTTCAAACGGAACCTCAAAATCTCAATTCACAAACAGCACCAAGAACATTTGGATCTTTCTTCGCTATTCATTCACCAATTGCTACTAGATCTCTCAATTCACTTCTTCCATCACGTGGGCACAAAGAGAAGACTCTTCCAAGGAGTATGAGAGGAAGTTTCTTTAATTCACATCCTTCACGAGAAGAAATGGATAAGAGACCTCGATCTCTCAAGAGTTTCATGGGCGATGACAGGTATGATCGAGTCATACGGTGTTTATCACCCATTCTCGCCCTATTACCACCACTCAACTTCATCACAATCCATTACACCTATTTCATAGTAACTCTTCTCATCACTTCCTTAATATTCTGGGGTTCATCAAACCCTTCCAAATCAATATCATATGTTGATTCGTTATTTTTGGTCACATCGGCGATGACGGAAGCGGGTCTTAATACGGTTAATTTAAGTACGATGACGACTTTCCAGCAAGTTATTCTTTGGTTGTTGATTGTAGTTGGGAGTGCGATTTTTGTTAGTGTGGCGACTGTGAGGACAAGAAAAAGAGCTTTTGAAGTTAGGTTTGGCGAGGTGGTTGGAAGACATAAGGAAGAGAGGAGGAGAGAAAGAATGAGGAGTGGAAGTCGCGAGGCTATGGGAAGTAGGAGGGGAGATGGGAATGGTCTGATGGGGGCTAATTGGAAGTTCCCACCGACCCGCGGTGGTAATGGAGGCGAAGATGCTTTAGAGATGGAAGAAGGATTGAAAGTTCGGCCGGTTGGGGCAAAAGGTGATGATAATTGTATGACTGCCATTTCGGAAATTTCTCCTCATGGTGGTATACCAAAAGATACGGGAGACCATATTACGTTTGCACCCGATGCATATCCAGTAAATGGAAAAGGGAAAGCAAAGGATATTACAGTTGGAAGTTCAAATGATGAAACTATAACACCAGCTCGATCAACAAATTTCCAGTTTCCTACATCCACCTCAGAAAACACAATCAAACATCGCGTCCAAGAAACCAGTACGCCACTTCACCACACCCAAACAGGTCAGCAAGATCTTGCTCCACTTCAATATCCTTCATACCTAAATTCCAATACCACAGGCCGCAATGCGCAGTTTCATGGTCTATCACGAGCCGAAAGAGAGCATTTAGGAGGTGTTGAATACCGAGCTATATCATTTCTAGCTTGGTTAGTTCCACTATACTTTATTCTCTGGCAACTACTCGGAGGAATTGGATTGGGTGCTTATATGGCTTATAATAAAAGTAATGTTGCGCTTGAAAATGGTATTAATCCATGGTGGCTGGGGGTCTTTAATGCGATTAGTGCATTTAATAATTCGGGGATGAGTTTATTGGACTTGAATATGGTTCGTTTTCTTTCACCCTTCTGTTTTGCTATCCTCTAAGGGTTGTAAAATATGGGAAGCAAAAACTAACGAGAATAGATACCTTTCCAAACCTCAGTCTATACCCTCCTAACAATGGGTCTTTTAATTCTCGCCGGCAACACAGCATATCCTCTCTTTCTCCGTCTAATTCTCTACACCCTCCTCAAACTTCTCGATACATTCCCCAACTTCCTGTCACCCTTCCAACACCATAAGCCAACACTCTTATTCATCCTCCGCTATCCTCGTCGTGTCTATACCAATTTGTTTCCCTCTCGTCCCACGTGGTGGCTCCTCTTCATGGTCATAACTCTCAATAGTATCGATTGGGTTGCCTTTGAACTTCTCAACATTGGCAACTCCGCAACTCAAGTAATTGAGCCACGCTACCGCGTTCTCGATGGACTTTTCCAAGCGATTGCAGTCAGAAGTGGAGGATTTTATATCATAAGCATTCCAAGTTTACGTATAGGACTGCAGTTCTTATACGTGGTTATGATGTATATCAGTGTATATCCGGTTGTCATCACAATGAGACATAGTAATGTTTATGAAGAGAGGAGTTTGGGAATTTACAGAGGAGATGTGGAGACGGATTCTAGTACTTCGAGATGGGGGAGAGGTATGAAGAGAATTAGGAAATCAATAAGTGGAAGGGACATCGGCATACCTCGTACCACATCATCAAATTCAAACCCAAATTCGACCTCGTCCCCTAAGGAAGAAACCACAGGCACCCAATTCATCCATCATCAATTGCGCTCCCAACTCTCCCACGATTTGTGGTGGTTAACGCTTGCGACTTTCCTCATCGTTTGTATCGAAGGGTCATCGTTTGAGAGAGATCCCATCACGTACTCGGTGTTTAATGTGATTTTTGAGGTGGTGAGTGCGTATGGTTGTGTGGGAATTTCGACGGGCTTGCCGGATCAGGATTATAGTTTTTCAGGGGGACTGAGGACGGCGAGTAAGGTTGTGTTGGTGGCGGTTATGGTGAGGGGGAGACATAGGGGGCTGCCGAGGGCGTTGGATAGGGCGGTTAGGTTGCCTGGGTGGGAGGGGGAGGGTTTGGGTGGAGAGGGAGGTGGAGAGAGGGATGAGGATGGAGAGGAGGCGGTGATTGGGGAATATGGGGAGGGAGGAAGACAAAGAGGAGATGGGGGGAAGGGGGAGGGGAGAGAAAGGTCTGAGGAGGGTATGGGATTGAGAAAGAGAAGATTTAGTAGAGGGGTGGTGGGTAGTGAGGAGGTTTAAACTTGATGATAGAATTATGAGGAATCGACCTGAGTAGTGATTAGAAGTCATGATCTGGTTTAGAATTATGTAATGGAATGGGACGGGATGTAATGGGATGGGATATATTGAATTACGAAGATTAGATGATAGAGAGAGAAACAAAGAGAGAGAATGCCCTTTCCATAGATTGAGATTGAGATTGAGAACAAGTGATAACCTGAAGCTTCATCTTTGGTGATTTTTGATGGGAATAGAAATACTGGTTACTTGACACGACGGAGTGGGATGAAAGGAGGAATTTATGACATTGATGTGTCTGATGGAATGAGTTTGAGGATCTTGGGTGAGAGTTTGGGAAACTCTTGATTTAATGTACTAAACAATCTTGAAGGCCAAGAGCTTTCCTGATCTGTCTTACTAGATAGGTAATTTGGTAGAACTTATGCTTATATTGTTGTAAAGATGTGGTGTTAATCGGAAGTAAGGAGGTAAGGAGGTAAGGAGGTAAAGCACGTGAAATTCTTAAATCCGAGCGGGGATCGCGCTAGTGAGAAGCTTATCCAGACCGAACGCGACTGGACCTCTAGAAACCAAATCACCTCGAGAGTATCTCCTGATACAGTATGGTTCAGAGCAACCCGTTTCTTCCATCGCCATCGGAGTATGTTCTCAAAGGGAAAACAGTCTTTGATAGGGCAGAATATCTAGTTCCTCGGCGATGTTTCCCGGATAGGAAAATACTCTCTGATAGGATGTCTACAATCAAGTTTGACGTGAGACCGCAAACTTCATCCACTGTGTCAATGATGATGATGATTATCAAGAAACTTCAATGGCTTCGTGAGGAGTTTATGCTAGATCCGGTTTCCGTGCTCTCTTGATCTAGAGATGGAACTGCTATAAAATACTGTATATCCCACCGACAGATGGGAAATTAAACTACAGACAAAATAGATCAAATACACTCAGAAACAAACGTATCAGACGACTAGCCTTCGAGCTCTCATCAACTTTTATTTTATTCTAGAAATGGCATCCCATACAATTGTTCTCGTCACCGGTGCAAACAGTGGCATAGGCTATGAAGCAGTAAAGGCCTTTCTTCAATCTACCAAACCATATCATATTCTTTTCGGTGCTCGTTCTTTGGAGAAAGCTCAAATTGCAATTGATGATTTGAAGAAGGAAGTCCCGGAGTCTAAGAACACAATTGAAACACTCGAGGTTGATCTTGTGAGTGATGAGAGTATTGAAAAGGCCTTTAAGATGGTCAAGGAGAAGCATGGGAGGGTTGATTCATTGGTTAACAATGCCGGTATGTAAATTTACCTTTACATATGGTGAAAATATAAGAGCGAAACTAATATTCTCCACTTCTAGGCGCAACCTTTGATATCGCATACATTAACGGCAAAGGAACACTCCGTGAATGTTTCAACAATGCCTACGACGTTAATGTAGCCGGTACTCACGTCCTAACCTCCACATTCATACCCCTCCTCTTCAAATCCCCTGATCCTCGTCTAATATTCGTCACTGGCTTATCAGCCATCAATCAAGCCGCGCAAAAATATTTCCCAACACCTCCACAAGCAGCTGGATGGCCAAAGAAAATCGGCTTCGAGACAATCGGTTATCGATGTTCGAAAACGGCACTTAATATGTTGATGTTGGATTGGAATCATAAGTTGAAGGCGGATGGAGTAAAGGTTTGGGCTGTGGGTCCCGGGATGTGTGCTACGAATCTCGGGGGGCTGGGTCCGGAGCTTGCGTATAAGATGGGGTGTGAACATCCTAGTAGGGGGGGATTGATTATTAGGAGTGTGGTTGAGGGAGAGAGAGATGAGGATGTTGGGAAGATTGTAGGGAAGGATGGTGTTGTTGATTGGTGAGTGAAAGTGAAAGTAATTGTGGGTGATACTGTGTAGGTAAGGAGTATGAGTTAGTTATCTCTTTTCATATACGCGGTGTATTCAAGCAATGCGTCGGCTCTTATCTTTCTAGAATGCCATTGTGTATTATACCATAAGCACGCTGAGGCTTTCCTCTCCTTACTTCAATAGGATTGTTCAATTTAGTCAAGCTTTTGCATACATAAGCAAAGTAGTAAGCTCTTAGCTCAAGCTGGGCAGTAGATACACTTGGCTCTTTTCACCCAATGTGCATTATCATTACCAGAATGGCTATCGATAAATCCAAAACACAACGTGAGGAAGAATGGGATATTTATCTTAATACAAGATGGGAATTTATGGTGAAGGATTTGTGTAATACGGAAGCTGTAGAAATGGATTGGAAGTAGGGATGAAAACTTGATGTGACGGTCAATTAAAAAGACATGAAAATACCCAACTGACCGACGAGAACACAGGGCTCTACAGATACTTCGATCGTATGATAGTAAGATGGCAAGATATAGCTTTGTACGATAACCTTATGGTTGGATGTCATCATTGATATCAAGATCCCAATTCTTGAAAAGACTACCGGCATTGAGATTTTGTACTGACGTGAGGTGAAGAAATACTGCAACTTGAATAAAGGTTTCTCATAATCCTAAGTGGAAAATATTATGAGTAAGATACTTGAAAGGGTAAAAGATTAATGTGGGCAGTGAGTGTATGTTTATACTTACTTCGAGATGTCAAGTGGCATGGATAGTTGGCGAAGGATAATTATACAAGGACTCGATAATCAGTATTCGTCTTGAATTCTTCCAAGTGGAGGGATTCAGGGTTCAAAATGGGGATCGAGTATGAGTAGGTTGGGTTGAATTTCCGAAAACAAATCACAGACTCATCTACATATGAATATCTATAGAATCAAGATTAATTTTATAATTTTTTTCCTGATATTAAACATTACTACTTCATATTGATATCCCCTTTCTTTACACCTGCAACGAATCACTCAAACCACGCACGAACCATAGCATCATCCCTAGCCGTCAAAATTTTCAACGGAAGCTTCTTCTCACCCTTCCCCCTCTCCCTCTGCATATCCCTCGCCCTCGAAACCGGATATCTATTCACTATTTCCCAATCCTGCTCCCTCATGCTCTCGTCAAATTCAAATCTCTCCCCCGGTACCCTTTCAAACGCCTCACAAACAGAACCATGTTCATATGCATACCGCGAGACTTTATCCTGTCCCTGAGCCGTGCCATTCGCAATTGCGTTTTGCCAATTGAATTCCCGCGGCGACTCGCCGGAGCCGAGATCCTGCCAGCGAGTGAGATAGAGCACATCGCCCTCTTCGTTGCGATCTTGCACCGCGATGTGGTAATCCGTCATGCAGTAATCGCACGATTGGAAACGCGGCGATGCTAAGGATCGATCGGAGACGCTGAGCTGGCGCGCGCGGAAATCGTAGAAACAGTCCCATTTGAGATGGGGACAGATGGGATAGTCCCAGGATATAGAAGCGTCTGGATCTTCGTAGGAAGCATAGTGATGGTTGGCGGGGAGTAGTAGGATTCTTTGCTTGCGAACGATTATGGAATTCGTCGTGTGTGAGATATGTATGGCCTCGCGAGAGCACTCAACTAATTGAGAGGTTGGGCTGAGGAAAGTGATGGTTTCGTCGTAGAGAGGAATTGAGAGAGTGATGTGGCGTTGATGATAACGTTTCATTGCCGCTTGTAAAATATGGAAGCTCACGTATCCTTCCAAGAGGGGTAGAGCGTTATCAACATGAAAAGCGCACGAATACACAAGTAAATTCTGACCATATGCAGGACCGAACATGTGCAGTTTGTTGCAGGGATAACACGTAATGTGATTTGGAAGATCCCGTGCAAGGAGTCGCAGGAAGTTGTAGCGATAGCTTCGATCGAGTTGGATGTTTAAATTACGTCTGTACATGGCATGGACGGGGAAAGAGACAGCCCTGTAAGGATTGTTGAGGGCTCCGACGTATTTTGATCCGAGTGTGCGCCACATGGTTTTGCAGGAAATACTCAACAAAGCTGCGGTGTCGGGTGGTAGAGCATCGGCGAGGTGTGCTAAGACGTCGATGGGTAACGCGCAGATGTTTTTCGGTTTGGGAGCTTGCGACGCGATCTCGATTGAGGCCGGAGATGATTCGAGAGGCAATAAGCGAAGATCCAATACGAGGGCTGGGTTCTCGATGAGTGAAGTTACTGGAGAGTGTGATTGTTTGTCGTCTGCGGAGATCCTTGTATCTTTCTCCGGTAATGCTGCGGTGTCCATACTGACATTAGGAGATTTGTTGTTTCCCATGATGGATATCTTTTGGTGATAAATGAAGAATGCACGAGAAGAATGAGTTGTAAAGTGATTGATTGAAGTGATCGATATATCAAGCGATTGAAATGTCAAGTAATGGAACTGCAAGTAACGAACGTATAATGTTTTGACCTGCACTGGTTTTCCTGAAGATATGAGAAATCTTCAATCTTTATATATAGACTGGCTGTCAGACTCAAAAGTGTCTAGTTGTGAACTAAGATCTTGCAAAGAGTGTGGGGAGATACTAGCGGGATACGCCACGAACTAAATGTCAAAAAATGTTGAGCCATTGATGTGCTAGAGTACACTAGACATACTAGAAGGTATTTAACTTTGTCGAAGACTACATTCATGTAGTTCTCTCAAAATTAGATCAAAACCCCCGGATTATGAAGTGAAAAGAAATCACATGTGCTTATCGATACATCATATTTCAAATGATAAACGCGCTAGAATCACTAGATCAAGCTGTTAGAATCAGTCTTAAATAAGAACAAGTCTTCTACCAGTAAGAATTCGCGAGAATATTGCTCAGTGTTCAAATTGCATAGGAACTTTAAACAAATTTCTGCGTCCAGACTTCTCATGAATTACAGACTACGAGAAACTCGAGAACGGGGAGTCGTTATTGGGACATTCAACATGCGAACTAGGACTACAGCGAGCAAACGCAAGAACTGCTTCAGGTACATCCTATGTATCTAAGCCTTCAGAGGTTCCTGCCTGTCTTTGCTATTCATCATGATGCGATGTCAACTCACCATCGGGGGCTCGTGCGCAAAGGTGATAATTAGACGAGAATGAAGGGGGCTATACGTAGGAGAAGAAAGAGGACAAATTGAACCACCCCAATGGATTCTGTAATAAATCAATCACGGGTAGAATCATCGGTAAGTACCTAAATGAACACGTGTTTGCGTGTTTACCGTAGAACTATGGAAGTTAATAGTACTAGATAAACTTTTAAAAATCTTTACTTATGATGCTATTCAAAACTCTAATTTTTGGAATTGAACTAGAGTATTTAGATCGTTGAAGGGTTTCGCTAGTGGTCAAGTCGAGTCTCTTTTTTCCCTACGAAAAGGAGAGATGGCAAGCATACAATGATTACTTTCACGTGAAGAAAGGTAGCATCTTATTGAGGTGCAAATCTAGTATTTGGACCAGAGTTTTCATTCCCAAAAAAATGTGTATACTAGAGTTCGCAACCAACATTCTAAAAGAACAGAGTGTTCAATGTAAATAGTAACCCATTAAGAAAGTCGGCCTTTTTGACCGAATAATACATAAATATCACATGCACGTTCAAATCTTAACACCAAGTTCTCGAATCTTCTCGAGTTCATCTTGAGTATATGGCTTCGTATTAATGATATCGTAATCCAGCATGCGAGAGCGCCAGTATCCGTCGAAGAACTTTAGAATTGGCTGGGCAAGCTCGATGTACTTGCTTTCGAAATCCTTAACTAATATTTCAAGTTCTTCGATTTGGGCAGATTCTTCCTCTTGGATATCATGATGGTCTCCAATATCGAAAGGGATGAAGTGATGAGGAGGTGAGCCCTCAGAGTAAGGGTGATAAACACAGCAGGTATGCGTAAGTTCTAAAATCGTGAAAGTTGCAAAGCGAATTATTTCGGGGGCCAGTATTTTCCAGACATCGTTATCGGTACCTATGAATTGGAGCAGAAACATAATGGAGGCACGCATTATCCAGTAAGTCGAATCGAGAGAAAACCCTTCTTCGCTGAGATCAGTAAAAACACTTATGATCTCTTCTTCATCGAGCTCCAAGGTAGTTTGCTTGAGCAATATGGTGAGTGCTGTACATCCCGATTTTGAACATGCGCATATACATGGATCAGCTGTCGAAGTTGTTAGAACCTTAAACATGACCTCTCTGACCTCAGATTGAGAAGATAAATTTTCAGGGTGGCCATTTGGCAGTAGATTTATTTCTTCCATTGTGATAATCCAAAGATCCTTGATAAGAAGACTTGCAACAATAAAGTGGGCGGCTGGAGTCCATGGAATTCGTCGGTCTCCTTGCAATATTCTCTTTGCGCTATGGAGATCTGCTCCTTTCTGGATTAGCCACCCAAGTAATTTGAACTTGTCCATCATTTCACTTGGAGACGTATCGTGATCGGTCCACGTTAGCATCAACAAGGTTCTCTTGGAATCGAAACAATGGTACTCTTCCATCTCACGAAATCCAGCGTTGTAAAACATTTCTGCTATCTCAACTCTTGGTATTGCATATTCTCGGAGATATATATCGTACACGAATAGTAGATGATATATTGTCTCGTATTCCTCGGGGATCTGTAAGGCTGGAGGTATATCGACGCCAAATACCTTCAGAAGAACGCAGGTAGAGCTTGCATGAAGATCCAATACATGATCACCTGAGATTGGAAGTTTATCCGTTTTTGAGGTTGGCAAGTTCTGAAAGGCCAATTGGCAGAGCCGATTTCTGCGATCGACGAGAGAATCTATCATGCAAATTATAATATCCTTCGAGCTTGAGCGCAATGCATCAAGGAAAACGTCCTCGGCACGAAAAAATATAGCATCGTTCAATGTATCGTTGTTCGTATCTGCGCGAAAAGAATGTAGCGGGCTGTCGGCATTTAGGAGTAATTGGACAGCTGGTAAACACTTTGAGTACAAAGCATAAGCGATAGGAAGATATCCCATGCAGTCTTGCTCCTTGACCAAACTTTGCCCGCCTATACGCAAGAGATGAGATATCCCAATTGGCCAATCAGAAGATAGATGTAGTGGAGTCTGACCCATGGTATTCCGCTCGTGAGCACTATCCGGGAAGTTGGCTAGAATTTGTAGCATTCTGTCTTCCGATCTCTGCAAAATAGCAGAACTAAGAGCTCCACAGTGAAAGCCTACATTTGTCAGAATTTGAATAACTTGTGAGTAGGGTCACCAAACCAAGTATTTCAGGAACGTCTCTAAAGCTTGAGAGAGACATCGCCAGATGCCTACAATAATTATCCCACCATCGACAACCTGGAACGATTAATTGATTCTCCAACCAGGAATCAGACAGCTCCAATCCCATGCTATCTATCAATTCTAAGCATAGATCAGGTACCTCTGGATGATAATATCCAAGAACCTTGGAGCCAAAAAGAATCTCGAGGGGTCGTCTTTAAAACATATAATTAGCAGATGGGCTATCGAAGATTTCAGATGAATCGGAACCTACTCTCCGTTGATATTTGTGTCGTTTACCATAGTACCCGGGGTATTGACGGCAAGAAACCTCAGGAAACGTTTGTAAGATTGAAACACCTTAGCATTTGTAAGTTCCAGATCCTCAGCGATTAAACAACCCATCTTGCTTAATTGTTAGCTATGTTCAATAGTCTAATCTAAAGACTAAGAGGCCCACATACATACATGAAGAATAGATTCACCACGTCTATTGACGTCGGTTAATGAAGCCTGGCCGTTTGCAAGCATTTTGCCAATCTGAATGGTGACATCATCCATATCCAAACAAACTCCAATGGAATCTACCTTGTATGCTCTTCCTCGAATGTCGTTCATTAATTTGAAGACCGGCGACTTTGAAGATACTATCCTACGAAAAGTAAGATTCGGAGAAATCGAGAGTAGAGACCCTGCTGTGGAGATGATACATAGCCTCGCTCGAAGGATTCCTGAGAATAACCGACTGCAATGAGAATAAGTGAGCTCCCAAGTATTTTTCCTTTCGAAATAGGATCTTGATGGGCAATCCGGCCGGCGACAACTAGAATCTATCCTTGATCGTAGAAACTGCAAAGATCTCGTTGAAAAGGACCAGTAGCTGTATTTTCCTTTCAAAAGAGCCTTGGATTGACAGGGACATCTACTTCTTGCAACTTTGCGTATTACTGTTTCGAATGCCGGCTCATCACTATCAGTAACTAAAGCTTTTGAAGAAACTTTCGAAGAAATGTTATCCACAGTCGCCGCGTGTTGTTTTTTATTTGATTTCAATGCTCGCGAAGTTGCTTGCTCGACGACTTCCGGCACGTCTTGGAGCGCCATTCTGACATTTGAAAGTTCTTGAACCATGTACTGGTTCAATGATCTAGATCTGATACCATGTTGAAGATGTCTATCCATGACATCTTTCAATGTTGGGAGAACGGCATCAATATGCGTGAAGCTCGCATTCAAACTCTGAAGTTCTTTTACAATGAAGTCTATGCCAGCCGTTGTAATAGCCGATGTTGTAACAATATTTGATGTCTGCTCCGATATTTTGCAAGAGACCTCACTTGAATGTGGTTAGCAGTATAATAAGTTTATTCAGAGACTTTTCATAGTCGTTGCGATAGCTAGCACAAGTGGTAACACAGAGTAGTGAAACCAAAAGTGATAAACCAAGATTAATCACGTGGCGGGATCGTCTACTTACAGTTGCAGAGCCATGATGGCCATATCTACATTAGCCTGTAGCTTGCCGACGATATTCTCCAGTCTTTGTAGGGTGGCTTGACGGAAAGGAAAAACTGCTTTCTTGCCGAGGAAACAGATCTTCTCTCTCGTACCAATGGGCACGCTGAGTTGACATTTCTGAAGAGTTGTTTCGAGAGTCTTGATATTGTCTGCGCATGAGGCGACGGTTGCTGCAACTAGGGTTACAGCTGATGTATGATTTGAATGAAGACTTCTCAGGCTTGCTTGTAAATGTTTGAGCGTGGTGTGAAGTGCTTGCGTTCTTTGCGCAATACCGTCAATTTCTTCAGCTTGATCGCGATAGGCTGAATAATAAGAGACAATACCCTGTGAGACTTGTAATCCAAGAGAGACTACCCCAACCGCCGTGCCCAATGCTTCTGCCATGATGAAGATATTTAAAAGAAAATAGCTTTGGAATGCATTGAAAATCCCAGATTATGAGGGTTCATATTTGATATTGAAGTAGGCTATGCAACGGCCACATTTGAGCCACATAGCTAGATCCTGATTTAGTAATTACCCCTACATGTTGTACAACGACCACAACTAATCCTGGTGTTATCGCACCTGCCAGGAAAGTGGCACATTAGCCTATGGTAAGCTTAATAACAATTTACCTTTCAAACAATCCGAGAAACTCACATGAACTAGACTTTTGAAAGGTTAGTAAATAAGCGATGAAATAATCTTCAATATCTAACGTTGACATTGTCTAAATTTGAAGTTGTCTTCCCACATATCGTAATTAGACCAACCCCGTTCATGCCATCCCGTGTAATTTTGTTCTTTCGGTATTATATTCAGCGTTGCATTTGGACATACAGGAACCCTTGACCGAAAAGCACTGCTGAAAATCTGGCACAGTAACGGGAAATCATTGGCACATCTTGTAATGGTATCAGCAATATGATCTGCTATCTCATTATACACATGTATACACCACCTAGATACTTTTTGCTTTTGGACGTCCTATTACATCCTAGCTCCAAAACGCCATGTCCATCCATATGCATTGAGTCTACGCTTGACCAGCTCTCGTTCAAAATCATATTACTCATCTAGTACCTGCTCCCTCAATATAAGGACTTCTTCTCCCACTCTTGATCACCCTCTAATCTCATTGGCAAGTCCGTTTCCCAGATAGGTCTCTCTATAATTGCCACTTCCAGTCCGTTTTCACCCCCTTCACCAATCTCCACCATACCAAGTATTGGTCTATACTTGAGCGTCTTGTAAGTCTGAGCTGGTCCACCAAACTTCTCATCTTCGCTCTTCTGCGATTTTTTCCTTAGCAGTGACTTTGATTCCCTGTCAATTTCATCGTCTTCCGAATCAACATCCATATCGTATTTGTTATTCTGGATGTCGATTTCGGTTTCTTGAGTTTCTTCCTCGTGGATGAGTTTGCGGATTTTACGGGACATTCCTGTCTCGTTCTCTTCTGGGTCAATCATACCACCAGCTCCGGATTTCCCTAGTTGGAAGCGCTTGCGTTTGCTTCCTGAGCTCTCAGCATCTCCATCTTCTTCCGCTTCTTCATCCTCAAAATGAAAATCTTGTGATAAATCGAACATCCATAGCCAATTGATACCATGTAACCACATACGCTCACGACCATTTGAGATATCCCATAAACAACCTCTTGCCAAATCTGCGACTTTACGGAAGGCAAGAGGGAACGTTGAAGTAGGATTCCTGCGAGACCATGGCGTGAGTGAGCCAGCTAAAACTTCGAATTCGTAGACCTCATTAGTGGATGTGACAATGACTAAACGATCCTCGGCAACGGGTAGTTCATGAGATACAGGACGTGGATTATTGCGTGTAGCAGGAGGTGTGGCTCCATTGATTTGTACGGGGAGAGTTGCAGGGCGGAAAGATAGTACAACCGGTGCGGCGGGAAGTTTTGGTATACGAGTTGCAGACGGGTTTCGTGTCCAGTGTTGACCGAAAATCAGTTTTGGTTTCTTCTGTTCTTCAGCATCGGAACCATCGTCAGAATCATCATCAGATGCGTCGTCTCCCTCTGCTTCCTCCAACTCTTGCGTAAGATCTTCGATTCCTTCCAGAACCCAAGTATCAACAAAACCTGCCAGGTCACTTACTACCAAGATTCGACTATCAGATGAGAATGCTGCTTGAGTGATAGTTCTTTCATATGCACCAAGACCACCTAGAAGCTTAGTTTTCGAGATATTGCGATCAAGACGAGAAAGTCTTGAGAGCTGAGAAATTATGCTAAATGAGGATGGTGAAGCATCATCTTGAATGACTCGTGCTACTGCGACTGAGCTATCATCCCGAATTATCGATATCCAGTTTCCGTCAGGGGAAAATTGAACCATACGGGCCCCAGAAGAAAATGCTTGTGGTACAGCGACAGTTGATACCTTAAGGCCCTCGCCCTCTTCAGGTTTTCGTGCCTTGAGGCGAAATAACTTTATATCTGATATCGTTGAAACGGCGAGCAGGTTTCCCGCAGCATTCAAAGTCGCAGATGTGATATTAGACTCACCCTTGACTAATATCTTCGCTACCAATTTGCGATTGACTGCCGCAGTCTCTGGCTCATCGCCATTGATGGATTCGGAAAGTCTGTTTATGCGCCAGATATTTATTTCTCGATCCCACCAACTCATCATCAACCTCTTTCTTGTAGAACTTTGAATGATAGAAGATTGAGGTAAGAAGGGCAAGGCACGTTGATTCTCTTGACCGGATTGCGCAAGTGGAAGAATAGTAGGAGCAGCATCGGGACCTACGAACAAATATTAGCATGCGCAAAAAATATTAATGAAAAGAGTGCTTACCTCCGGAAGCCACAACACTAATTCCTTGACATTCCAAGCTTGCCATGGCCTTTACATCGTGAGTGTGATATCTTCTGTGCCTGACTTCTGACCATCTCTTCTTCCCTTTGATTTGTTTGTAGACGACTGTTCGTCTATCCATACCACCACTGAAAAATGTCATCCCATCAGCGCTTGTTGCGAGGCTGAGAACGTCTTGAGTATGACTCTTGATGTGCTGCATCATACTGTATGTTTTACCATGCCATATTTTAACTTCTCCCGTAGAGTCACCAGAAATAATATCTCCATTTGGTAATGCTTTCACAGCCCAGACAATGATATCCTTGGGTCCTCCTTTAGGTCCAGCTCCCAAAGACATCTGCCTTAGCATTGATCCGGTCCTTATGTCATAAATCCGAATATTACTATCTGAACATCCGGCAATAACATGGTAGCGATCCTGGAAAGCGACACTGATAATTTTTGCTTTTTTCGCAGATGGGCGGACAAGAACTTTTTGCAATTGTAGATTTTCATCCGCTGTCGAGTATAAAACCAAAGCTCCGTCAACACAGCCAGCAATGAGCTTTTGACACTCCCCGGAAGGCTCTTCTCCACGCTTTTGTTCCTCTGCAGGTTGAGCAGCAAGGCACCATATCTCACCATGATTTCCACTTGCTGAACGTAATGGCTGACCTTTCACCAAATCCCACTCGGTAACAGTTGTAGTATATCCGATGCTGAAGAGTCTAGATTTCCCAATTATTTTTGTGCCATTAATTTCCTCAGTAGGATCTTGAGTCCAGACAAGTCCATCAATACTGCGATCCTTTCCACCTCGAATGATTGTTTCTTGAAGCCATGATCCTTTTTGCGGGTTCCAGAGCTCGATATCACCGTTTGCGCGACCGAGGGCCAATCGTGGAGAAACGGCAGATTGACCTTTTGTCAAATTCGAGTGCGTGAATGCCAATGCATTGATTGTTGACGGAGGGTATGGAACGAATCTGCAGCGGTGGATATCCATTGCGCCGGTTTGATGTTAATTTCTCATTCGATTCTCAAGAGAAAAAAATAAAAAAGCTCAAGAGGTTTTTCTGCCGGAAATTCAATTGTAGGCGGTGGAGGAGTCATGAGTCACGTGATTACGATTAGATACAGTACCGGTCAAATCAATGTTACATCAATTTTGAAAATCTTCATTTGATTTGATTTGATGGAACGGGCAGAACGTATCATCTTGCCAAGTTGGCAGGCTATGTAATGGCTGGTAGAAGTATCTTCACTCGTTCTTAATGTGTGGATTTGTGGGTGGATTACAACAATGCAAGTGATTTTTGGACCATCAAATTTTATATCTCTGTCATTGGACCTCACAATGCACTTGACCTGTCTGACAGCATCTAAAACTGCTTTTCTATCTCTTTGAGTCTAGACTAGTGAGGAAGTTGCAATCCTACAGAACTTGGTATTCTCATAATCATATCGAAGCCAAACAGTGCTATAGTTCACAGGCAGTACGCTGATGTATATTCGAGACGTTATGATTTTGAAGTCTGCGTTCTGTGCAGGAATAGTCAAAAGCAGATAGAACTTTGAATCTCTATCGCCCCCCTCCGCAGACTCCCCTCCATTTTCTAAACTACATTTCAGAGACCTTAATTCGAATCAATAACAAGCCAAGGAATATAACAAGTTTTCTTTCCATTCCTAACCGTCGAAATGAAAGGCGTGGATACTTCCAGAATCTTCACATTTTGTGGATGCCAAGTTTCCGGATTGTCAAAGTTACACCAATCCTTTGTCGACACCGATTCAATAAGAATATTTGTGAATGTTACCGCTCCGGAACCCCAACCAGGATCGGTGCCATTGCCAATTCCCACATGCTCAATTATGAGCAAAACCTATACAATTGTTATCAGTCAAGGCTTCGAAGCTTGGATCCAGAAACGCAGTTACCTCTGTCATGTCTGGGACTTTGGGTTCTGATGGAGCATTAGTACTACTTACGGACAGTTGGAAGATTGGAAGCGTGCCGAATTTGGAGCCATCGAAAGTGTAGTTCCCACCATATGGTACTTCTCCTTTTGATGCGCCGATTCGACCGGGCATGACAGACCACGTATCGAGCCATTCGTTGGAGATTTCATCAAGTGTCCAGAGACTTGTTATTTGATCGCCTGGATATACTATTTGTTGAAATATTAGTCTTCATCAAGACCAATCTAAGTATGCATATCTGTTATCCTTCTCCCCTCTCTACAACCCTTCAGTAACAGAAAAAAAAACCCACCCTTCGGTTGTCTTTCCTCAAAATAAATCTCCGTCCAACTAGGTTTCGTCGCCCCGTCATAAAAACTAGGTATATGACTCCAACACCCCATCTCGTCCCCCGCATTCCCAACAACATTTTGCAGAACGCAACTTTGATCTGTTGGTTGCATACCTGCCCATGTTGCTTGAATTTTCCAATCTGGGCTATGGCCTTGTGGCGCTGTTGGCGGGGAGGGTACTTGGAGGGTCGCATGAAACTATTCAAAGGGAAGATATCAGTAGAAGCGCTAAAGGACGATGATTCGGAAAAGGGGGGAAAGCAGATACCCGTGTTATTTTTCCACCATATGTGAAGATGAATACCGCGCCTGCATCTACATGGTTGATGCGAGTAAGGACAAGTACAAACATAAGAAGAGGAGCAATAAAGGAATACATAATGATAAGAATAAATAGATAAAAGCGATGCGGATAAACCAGATCACAAATCGAAGATGAAATCCAACGGTCCTTGCTTAATTTGAAACTAGTTATAGAAGAGATCTAATGGTTCTTGTGATGTAGAGATCAGAGATTAGTCCCGCAGTCGAAACATAAACATCGCAAATAGTTTGACAACAAGCAAAGAAAAGTGTTTCTACGAAAATCGTACCATCAACCCCCAGCAAAATCCACATGAATATACCACGCCATCAACAGCAACCCATTCACTCATCCCTGAGATATTTTCCGCATCTTTTATGCTACTTAAGTAATATTATAAATGGGCTTGCGATGTAAGATTGGTGCCCCCTTTGAGACGACCAAGTTGTCGTTTTGGACAGCGCCAAGCCAATCGCCAACGATATCAGAGCAGCTGAATCTGATGCACTCATTGCTCAGGGTATGAAATTGAGAAAATCTTATTACTACCTAGTTAATGGAGATGGCGTTTTTCGGGGACTGATATGTGAGAGTTCGTGTTCATGGCTGATAAGACATGCGAAGACCAAAGAGATACATTGATATCCATGTATAGAGCAATGATGGCTCTAATTTGCAAGTATCTCAGAATAATGTTTTGAACAGGTGAAATAGTGTGCATTTAAGTACACTGTCAATGTATCATCTTTCTCCCTTCGCATTCGATATATTGATTCCTTGACTGATAAATTGAAACTTCCGACACGCCTATACGCTCGTTTCTCACCCAGAATATCCGTCAAAATAACCCCCATTGTTCCTCCCGAGTCCCATCCTCAATACCCCAAATTCCTAGACGGCAGCCATCGAATCCAAAACAGTAAACCCCGTAAAAAAGCAAATCATTCCTGTAATTGCCGGAAACACTCTAACAGCTTCTATGTTACTAAGAGTAACATTGCTAAGAATAAGTTTATCAACACTACACCAATCGGTATTTGTGCCTTCGATTTGAATCAGAACGTTTTTCCAATCTAGAGGACCCATTTCCCACTTTGCAGCGCGGTTGAGTTCAGTTGCGAGGATAGCCTAGGGGTACTAGTTAAGTTTGAGAATAGGTTGAGTTGAAATGCAAGAAAGAAAGAAGGATGATATAAATGATACGCACTTGTGTGAAATCTCCTATGCTAGCTGAAAGTTCCGTGTTAGTCACAGTATACCCACACTCTATTCGACTCGGAGAAGAACCAACTCACGAAATGGTGAAAGATCTACCGTTACGTTGCCCATAAAATCTATCTCCCCATTCGCTAATCCTTCCGCACCTCTCCTAACCATCCAATTGACAAACCATTTATAAGACTTTGTCAGACCTCTCCACTGCTCAGATGAATCCATCGAGATAAAACCATTCGAGATCAGATCTCCCGGATAAACATTAATATTTTTCCCATGAATCCTTTCACCTTTAGCAGATGCATTTCCAAGTTGGAAATACTCGAAAAACGACCATCGTCCTAGGGTTTCTCCTTCATTGGCGTATACAATCTGTAGGATGGAATTACTGTTTGCAGGCTCGATTGCGGGCCAGAATGACTGGATTCCAGTGGCTTGGAGAACTGTTGGTGCTTTGGGTACAATTACTGTGGCTCGGAACTAAGAGCCATGTTTAGTTTGCAGAGTTTGATGGAGATTCTAAGTGAAGCTTACTTGAACAATTTTAGCATAGGGCTCAATAAAAACCGCGCCAGTCGCTACGAGATGGAGTCTAGCGAGGAAGAGAAGGATACCGGCAAAGATGTTGAGATCAAGAGAACGCATTTTGCAAGAAGATGTTGATCAACTTGACAATTGGTGGGGTTTGATGGGTATATTAATATAAAGAAGAGCCAGAGGTAGGTGAATCGTAAGAGAAGGCAGAATTGTTAAGGATTACTGTCAATAACTTATTATAGGAAGAAAAAGGGCTCTAAGCAGGGTTCTAAAATATACAGTTAAATGATGGGCAAAAGCAACATCCCACACGCGTTATTCACTGGACCAGACGGAGATGTTGAGACACATAATCTGCAACGATGAACCACTGGCTCACGGGGAAATAGAATAAAGATGTATAGCTGACGTAGCAAGTATGAATAGTATATTGAGCGGCTGTTCATCACCATAGTTCGGAAGTTCTAATCATGTCTAAGCATATAACATACCGAAAAGATTCAATGTACAAAACGAATTCAGGATACGAAACAATATTTGTTGGATTGCGATTCGGGCTAACCTGGGAATAATAGCTAGTCTCAAAATCTCTTGATTAAATGATATATTTCAATATATAGCAAGACACCCTTCGCGATTCAGGCATCAGTCTTCTCTCCCACCAAAGCCTCAAAATCAACTTCACCCTGAACATTGAATTTCCATTTGACATTTTCCCAACCTTTTCTTCTCTTTATGCTGACTTCAACATCATTTTTGGGTTTCCTGACCGCTGTCCCCAACTTTTGAAATGCTCTATCCGGCACACTTGAACCGTCGATATCAAATCCCATAACAATAGCAGCAACAAGTGAAAGGATTTCAGTTGTGGCAAAATGTCTTCCTGGGCATAAATGCTTTCCACCACCGAAGGGAAAATATCCCTGTGTTTGCTGTTTCTTCTGTTCTTTGTCTAGTTTCGCAATGGTACTTGGTAGGAATCGAAACGGATTAAATGAATTTACATCTGGCCCCCAGATTGATGGCGAATTGTGAGTGACGCCGGAAGGGAGTTGTATGACGTTTCCAGCTTTAAGCAAAAACGAAGATTGAGAGGTTGATGATGCGAGGATTACATCTTGGGTGACAGACCGGACAGATGTTGCTGCATCAGCGAAACGAAGCGTCTCACGAAAGCACGACATTAATATAGGACAACGGGATTGGAACAGAGTAATGTCCATGACACATTCTTCTATTCCATCTTCATCTTCATTCTTCGATATGATGTTGGAGATCTCGGTCTGAATGGAAGATATCAAAGCCGGATCTGAAAGAACATTAACAAGTAGCCAAAAACATGTTGGTGCTGAATTGGTTGTGGCAAGGAAAAGTGTAGAGATTTCGATGTTCGCAATCTCCTCGGCTGTGAGACCCCATCTCTGGGAGCACTCTAATCGTGATTTGATAAGTGTACTGGCGGTCATATGATTTGATGAAGCATAGTAGGATGCAAAGGCAGTTTTGATGGCTCTACGGCCATGATAAGCTTTCGGGCAAATAAATTTAGGAAGAAATTCAAGCATAAGCATTGTCATGTTTTCCTCGAAGTCCCTGGCAAGATCAGCACTGACTTACAAGTTTGGGGGGCAGGGTATCCAATAGTCCGAATGAATAGATCAAATTTTTTCCAAACTCATCCGGTATTCCAATACAAATGAAAGCACAGAATGTAATAGGATATAGGGAATTTATTCGACACAGAAATGATTCAGTACGGACGATTGGACCCTGGCTGGGGATATTATTGCTAACCAGAGAGAATCTATGAGGCTGTGATTAGCACTCACGGGATCGTGTGGCCCGTAAAGAGACGCAGAAGTAGCCAACGTAAGGGTATCTCTCATCCATTTATAGAGGGATACTTTTCCAGAGTTCTGATCAAGCTTGTTGAGGATATCAGCAACAGCACCCAGAATTCCTTTGTTCAATTCTAGCAGAGTTCCACTGGGTCCCAAGTATTCTACCATCAATCCATGATTCTCGTTCAGGTACGATGTCCCATTATTCCCGTTTAAAAACGGCCCTTTCGGATCATAATCTGGTGAAGTTTCCCCGCGAATTATTTTCATTCCATGCTCGCCAATATTGAACGCACGTTTCGAAGAATCAACAACAAATGTAGTAAAATCAAACGCTTTCGTGTTTCGATATGCAGCTTGAATTAGCGAAGGTTCGCAGATAACGTAGATACGTGCGGCGAATATCTTGAGCGTGAAGACCGAATAAAGAGGATGTTTGGAACTGTAACGAAGATGAATGGTAAGCGAATGTTCTTCGGAGGGGGGTGGATAGCTTCGTGTAGAGATCAAAGGGCCAAGCAGCAACTTTCTCGAGAGTGCCCCGCAGGCCCTTTCATGTAGCTGTGCTAATCCCGTACCTTAACGTCTGAAAGTAGCCAACTTGTCCTTTCAGCATACCGATCAAATGCCCAAATAGTGGAATTCTTGACTTGACCTCTGGAGGCTCAGTCCCTTTTGTGCCCTCCTTATCCTTACGACCAGGCCTACTAAACAATACCGCAAGCCCAGTACCTAAGATCAAGGTAATTGCGATTAGAAGCCTATTGACGTTGTAATCCTGCAACCTCGAAAACAAAGGAAACACTGTCATCGCAGAAGCATTATTGAACACCATGGTAAAGGCTCAAGATGAACACAACGCGAAATCTAAAATCTTGAATGCATCTTATTAAGGAGAGTTCAAGTACCTAGTGGGCTTCAGACTACCCAACCAACAACCAAAGAAGCTAAGGAAACATGGCTCGTAGCAGCACCTACAATCACCTACTCTCTACAATATTGGGGACGATCAAAGCGGATCATCTTCTCAGTGGGTCGCGGAAACACTTGAAGCCGGAGAAGTTAGTTTCAAGTCCCCAAGTTATTTGCAAGCTTAGGACTGGAGGAGCTCGACCATCTCTTATTTAGTTCGCATTGACCTAATCTGATGGAACCCCTATAGTTCAATGAAATAAAAGGGTTAAATCAGCAACAAAAGTCCTTAAAGAATTTCCACTCTTGTTCAATGATTTTGTTGTAGGAGGCTCAGGACTTAGGAAGGTTTGGTGAAGTTGAAGGAGCGACAGAGCTTCAACTAATGAAGTCGGTGCTGAGCAGCCTGAGCTCCACCACAATGATAAGTGTGGCTGAGCAACATGGATTTGAGCCACTGTGGCAGCTTAACCGAAGATACCTACTGGGTACAGTTTCCACCACTCATTTTCACTTGACATGCAGTATGTCTCGCAGTATGTATGCCACCAACGATGCATGGGATCAAAGAGAATCCAACTCTTGATATCTTGCCCCTGAACTTCACTTGAATCTTACAATGTGAACTCTTCGATCATCTATGCTACTCTGCATGGGAACATACCCATGTGTACATGCATAGAATCTGTTAACAACGTCTTTGGGCGAATGAGGTTGACCTTCATACCTTCGATCTTTTTCATGATGGAAGCATAAACAGGAAGAAGTCTACAGTCTTTATATCATTCAGTTCACATAATGAGAGCTGCGCATTGTGCAATTTGACTCCAATGATCGAGTGATTGGTACAATCCTAGATGTCTGAACAGGAGAGTGCATGGCCCAAAACCAATTTGATTCAGAGCTTGGGATTTTACATGAAGGGAAAGGCAGCTTCAAATCATGCAATCTGACTCTAGTGATTCAAAGAGCCCCATACATCTTGATGGGTAAAGTGAACGGCTCAGAATGCATACCTTTGCATATTGTGGCGACGTTCTTCTGCATATTGCGTTGCATGATTTCCTGCACTTTGTTTGTTATTACTTAGTCTGTTGTCGCTATCTGACATAAATCATTACTGTCCCATCGTTATTTCCTTTCAGATTTTTAAAAAGAAAGCAAAGAGCTATCCATTCAAGAATCATTTCTCATTCAATCAACTATGAATCTAAGCGCCATTTCAAACAACAAAGGCGAATCTCCTAGGTCCATGAAATCTCATCAACCAAATTGTCTTCGGTTGCACTTTATGCTATTGGAGATGCCAAATAACGAATTATTGAAGGAAGAATTTTCAACTATAGATTTCCTATGGCTTCGAAGAGTAATTGTAGACCAGAGTTCTATTCTTAGTGACCTGCTGATCTCTCCATAGAACAATCCCTCGCCAAATATGGCCAAGTTGGTGGTATATCGCTTTTTACACATGCACAACCTCTACCAGACCGACGAGGGTGATCAGATCAATTGATCACATATTCAGAAACGGGGAATTACCAAAAAATCAAAATTGCAGAGCACAAATGATTCACCGATGCAAAAAATTGATTTTCTCAACTTCTCAATGGAAATCAAATGGTATATTGATGCACAATGAAGAAACCCGTCTGGTCAAGAGCGCAAAATTTCGAAACGCTTGGAAAAGTCAAATCATCATCATGCGAAACAGAATCAAAATTACTAATAAAGGAGCACCTGTCGTTGAAGTACCCAATGATGTTCCTGCAAAGGTACTAATTTTTTCTTTCTCTTTTCAAATGTTGGACTCACCAATCCCATAGGTTTCGGAAGCAAACAGTGTGATGACCGAGGTATCTGTCGCAGCCCCGAGGCCATTACTGGAAGGAAGGCAGAATAGCACCAAAATGATCACCACTACCGAACCCCTTATTAAAGTTGATCCCGATGGACCTGTGGATTTAGTTGACGAGGTTAAGACAGTGTCTCGAGTGAAGTTGGAACACCTTGACTCAGAACAAGTTCAACCGGTGCTGAGAGATACTTCACTAAATGTTACAGATGAGACTTATCATTGCTCTCCTTCTCACTGTCATGGTTTACCTGATTTTGAGTCCGATGTTCCCGATAGCCAGGTTCCACCACCGGATACCACTTCAATTTCTCGGTCCGGTCCTTCACGAAATAGTATCATGGCTGAAGTCATATTCTTAAAGGACTCGAAGCGTATCAACTACTCTTCCGAAGCTTTACTTTCAGACCATACCCAAAAGTTCAAGGCCTGTGCACGGATAACTGTGCTCACCCCAAACAAAATCGGTCGAAAAGTTGTTCGTGATGCAATGAGTGTGATCTGGGACAGTAACCATGAATTAGTCCTCTTCTGGAAATCAGTGGCTTTGCGAACGTCTACCATCATAGAAATCACGTTCCCTGATGCCACTTGGTTACCTGGTGTCACTGTTGACACTAATAGTGACGACGACCTTCTCAGAGCTAGACAGGTTATCTGGAATAGCTTCTGGATATTCCTCGCCAAGCAACCAGAAACCATTATCTCGACCTTCAATATCAATGCAACCCCCGAAAGTCCCAAACTCGGGGTAGCACTCTCTAAGCGACAACGAAATAGTATACCTGATGATCCTATATCTCGTCACCAAGAGGACGGCACAAGCCCTTGTTCCAACGATGCATATGATATAGCATTCCGAAACTATGTGTCCAAGATCAGTAGCCAGAGATCTTATGAAAATTCTGGTCCACGTGAGGGAATTCAGAGTATCGGCCAAGCTCCAATATCACCAAAATCACTTCCATTGCTGAAAAGACCTGCCAAGCGGCCGCGCTTGATAGAACAACAACTCACAACAGCTCAAACAGAACTTGCAACTACAACATCAAATCCCATACTTTGGGGACAGCAGATACAGCAGCAGATGCCAGAACAGCAAACACATCAACAACAGCATGGGTCGCGTCCAGTTCATACACCTGCAGGGTCTCACATTTTGGGATCTGTATATCATCCCCCACCACAACCGTTCATACAAGCCCAGTCTCTCCAACCAAACAGCATTCGCACTCAGCCACGGACCAGCCTTCCATCGACAAAGACAGCTGTGTTTCACCATGAGCCAAATGGTGCATTCGCGTCATACGCATGTCAAGCAACGCCGCGTACGAACCATTCTTCCCGTTCCCAGACTTCACTAGCGATGCCTCCTACTCCAAGTAAAACCCATGAAAACATGCCCTCTCAACGCATTCCTCGAATGCTCGCATCCACTCTCACGTCTTCATACCAATATTCTCCGTATACTCACGCCTCAGCACCAATGTCTCCTCCTGAAACCAGAGCTAGATCTCAACGTTCCCCACCTTCAGCACATCATCCACCATCAATGCCAACATCAAGACTCAGCCATCACATCCAAACTTTCAATCATCCCGAATTACCCCAATCCCCACCAATTACCCCTCAGTCTCACCGCTTTCCTTCATATCCCCCCTCCCACCCAACCCCAACCCCAACCATCCAATTCCGCATCCAACTCCAACCCAACGGCCCCTTCAGTCCCCCCTACCCCAAATCCGTCCTCGGCATCCCCGGTAAACCCGCAATCACCACCTCCCAATTCTTCGCCTGCTTCACCGCAAACACAAATCCCATCCGCGGGAAGAATCCCGACTCCCTAACCTTCCGACTCAAAGACGCAGTGCCAGCCCCAATTGCATATACCGTTTCTCGAACGGGAATAGTGGATGGAGTCGATGCATTGGTAAAGCTGAGAGCAGATATCAAGAGAGAATGTGAGAATGCGGGGAGATTGGTCATGGGATTGGAAAAATTCGAGATTTACGTTAGTATCACGGAAGAAACAGATACGAGGAAGGAGGTGGAGCTGCCTAGGCAGGTGTTGGGAGAAGAGTGGTGATGTTGCAAATAGAATGGTAGAGAAATGGTTATGGTGACTCGTTTACTTCTTACGAAAACGGTTCTCAGTTATTATTAATACTGCATGAAATTTGATCACGATATTTATTTATGTAAAGAAACACTGTGGTCAATGTTTTACAAAACTTTTATCTTGAGTATGGATTTTACAACCGATTTTTCGATTCCGTTTCAGACGAAATACCTATACTTGATATCTTACATATAAAATCAAATCGCAGCACAGCACAACACGCACCAATCTCTCCTCCATTCACGTCTCATCGCTCGTAACTCAAGATCCGATCACGATGAAAATGAATACGCAACATCTATTAAGAATTCCCGACCTTCTATTCATCTAGTAACTATGAATTATTAAGTATAAACTTCCATGTATTCTGTTCCAAAAAATTCGTCCATCATCCATCATAATCGGAATAATCTGTGGTTAAAACCACTATAAATACAAGTCATCCATGATGTACTGATTAATTCATGTGATACAAGTGATGAAATAACGTATCAGTTCAACTCCATATTACTGGTGCAACTGAAATCACAGAAGCCATATCTGACCCATAACAACCATGACAGCAATAGGCCCAATAGTCGAGATGACATAAACAATATTCGAAACAGCAGGTGTGATAAGGGCGAAGATACTGTTATCGATACCAGTCGATGCAGCCGATGCTTGGCTGGCAATTGGCGGACTTATACTTGCAGATGTTGCGGGAGAGGTGTTTTCGGCCGGTGTAGATTTGATCGTGGTTGAAGGTTTGCTCCCTTTGTTACTTGATTGGGCATTACCCGTTGGCCTGATAATATGTTAGGCATTATAGCAATGGGGGATTGTATGGCCCACTTACTGAGAAGTGTTGCCTGAGAATAGAGAAGCAGCACTAGCCACTGCCCCAGATGCAGAAGCGGCGCCACCAGCACCTGATCCAGCAGACCCAGCAGCAGCTCCCCTATTACCAGCTCCCTCATCATCAGCCCCCCCACTACCAGCTCCAGAGTTGGTGCTATTAGTGAAAGGGGGATTTGGTCTAGAAGGGGACGTTGCATTTGAGTTCTCAGAGCCAGGCACAGGGTTCTTGGGTCCAGAGGATGTCGCGTTGGATGCAGGCGAGGGATTCTTCGGTCTTGATGACGCGGGGTTTGATATTTCTGGAGCTGGTGAGGAATTTTTTGGACCTGGTGGTGGTGGTGGACTTTGATTCGCCGATCCAGTCGAGTTTGATGCCGAGTCTGAACATACTCTATGAGAATGTTAGATGAGAATAACGAATTGTATGAGTGTATCCACATACGAGATAGTAACGGTGACAGTTTCGGCTCTAGCCACAAAAGCTCTAGCCATCAACTCATGCGTTGGAAGAGGAGGAGCTATTGTTATTGGAATAGAAGCTGCCGTAGAAGAGATGCATGCTGCACAATCACAAGACTCGCCATGAGAATTGTGGTGGACATTGTATGCTTCTGCTTTTTTCGACAATTCAAAAGCGGCCAATGAGTGAAGATCAGTAGGAGTTGAGGCTGATTGGACTGATGTGGTCGAGATACTTGGTCTTGACTTTGCCATGGCAATAGCAAGTAGTCCTGTAGCATCACGAACAGTATTGCTAACGCCAGTAGGATGTGTCACTAAACTGTTGATATCGGCTAGAATAACGGACACCATATCAGATCTTCCTTGAAGAGCAAATGAGACTGTATTTGTTCCTTGAGCAAGAATGGCAGAGACAGTGGTAGACTCCTCCATAGCATGCTTTTCGGATTGTATGCGGTCGATGATGAGAGATGTTGGAGTGTTCAAAGAGTCAGGCGAGCAATCATGCAATGCCAAAATCTCACTTCTAGCAGTGGATGGGGTAGAGATTGTTGTTCTATGAATCAACGTCAGCTCGAGTAAAAGAACCACTGGTTGATACCTACTGCCAATTAAGACCGAAAGTGATATCTCTTTTCCCCAAGCTGACACCATCCTTGCGGACAAATGCTTTTAAACCCTCTCCAATAAATACAAGTATGAGAACCGAAAAGGCAATAAGTGTAGCAACGACCACGGCAGGCCGCCCAAATCGACGTGAAGGCATGATTTCAATGAGAAAAGATTTTGGAAAGAACGTGAAAATGCTTGAAGCAAGTAAAACGGAGTTATGGCTGTATCAAAGACCAAAATTGCATCAATGTATGTGCAGAAGTGAAGGTTACAGAGACGAGGACCAAAATTTACCAAAATTGCATCGAGCGAAAGTTGTATTGAAGAAGTTTGTAGAGAAAGAAAAGGAAGAGAAGAGATATAAGACGGCTTTTCTAATTGTTGGGGGAGTTGAATGGTTCTTTCCTCAGTTGCAGACTAGTGATGCCTCTATTTCCATAATTGTCAAGGAACTCCTTCCCTATCAGTATTCGCTCCAAAGGATCCTTCCTACCTGCCATTCCGGCCTTCCTATTCGAAAATCGTCGGCTTGTTTGCGCCTTACTTCCATACTTTAAATCATAGAAAAAATCAATCACAGTAGCAATTCAATCAAAATGAAGGCAATCAGTTCATTGAGACATAGCTATAGACCCTAGCTTTTAACCCCATATAAACCCATTTGCATAAACTAAAGAATTATTTTCACAAGCCCACTACACACCTAGTAACGCTTGCCGGCACGGAGAGAATCACCGAATTCCTCCAAAGGACTTCTGATGAGCTTGGTCTCCTTCCATAAGTTAGGAGTCAAGTATCCGTATGTGTTGGCAGCAGCGACGAAAGTAGCCTTCAAGGTGTTCTCAAGGGTCTTGGTCGAACCGGAGGAGGAGGTGTATGCATCTTCAACACCTGCGAGTTGAAGGAGACGCTTGACGGCTGGGGAAGCGACAAGACCGGTACCACGGGGAGCTGGGATAAGCTGGAGAAGAGAGAAAAATCAGTAAACAAATTAATCATAGTATTTTCCAGAAGTTACTTACTCTGACAGAGACGGATCCGCACTTTCCACTCTCCTTGGTTGGGAGGGAGTGAGGAGTACCCAAGTTGGTACCCCAGTAACCTCTTCTAATTGGGACAACGGACAACTTGGCGATGATAATAGCAGCACGGATGGCAGTTGCGACTTCCTTGGAGGTCTTGATACCGAGACCGACGTGTCCCTCAGAGTCACCGATGACAACGATGGCCTTGAATCTGGTACGTTGACCGGCACGGGTTTGTTTCTGGACAGGCTTGATCTGTAGACAAAATTCACATCAGTATCCATATTTGCCAAATTTCCATAATCGCATGAAAGCGGTTTTTGTAAATTTCGCATACCTTCATGACCTCATCCTTCAACTTTGGCAAGAAGAAATCAACAATTTGGTACTCCTTGATTGGCAAAGAGTGGAGGTAGATCTCCTCCATAGAGTTGATCTTTCCGTCCTTCACGAGACGGCCAAGCTTGGTAACTGGTTGCCATTCCTTTGCCTCGTCCTTGTTTCCTCCACGTCCGCGACCACGTCCACGTCCACGTCCGCGTCCGCGATCTCCTCCACGGCCTCTGTCGCCGAAACCTCCTCGTGAGCCGCCTCTTGGTGCGTCAGCCATATTGATATCGAATTGATCGTTAGGTGGTGGTTGGCAAGTCGGTGGGCGTTGAACGATTAGGAGATCAAGAACTTCGAAATTATTGATTAGAATTTGGAAGTGTGGGATATTTTTCGCTTAAGCAATTATTTAGTCGCCCAAAAGTAGATTAGCGTTCTGATGAGAAAAGCTCATGAATGCCTGATTACAGACACTCATGAGGATCAGGCATTCTTAGAGGGGCAGTCACGTGCACTGTTCACTTTCCTTCCTCTAGGTGGAGGTGTGTTTCTGCATCTCATCTAGTGTTCATTGAATGTAACCTTCTATTATATACATATTTTCTCACTCACCTTGACATGAATCCCTCCATCAATTAACGGCGTTGAGTTTTTAACACCTACCTACCTACCTACCTACCTACCTACCTACCTACCTGCCTACCTACCTACCTACCCTCCTCTGCTAGAGAGCGATCAGCCAATCGATTCGTCCATCGCAAGTACCTGCCCTGCCTTCGAACATGCACTTATCTAAATGCACAATGCCCATCGGAAACACATCCAAACAAGAATCGGTCTCTTCTGAAGGCTTCAAAGGCTAAAAAGGAATAACTTTGCTCGATATCAGACTACACAATAATATACACAGTCAAACTTGAGTATTGCTACCTCATATTTGCCACCTCGTACAAACCAGACCTGAACTCCATAGCACCATACTGAGTTCCAATTTCATAACTTGTCAGATATTATCATTCAAAGAAAAGAGATTACCAAGTCCAATCATTCACCCCATTTCGCCTTGGCATATCAGGAAAAATCGGTCAGACGGCTCCGTTTTGCTGCTTCCCACATCATGATTCATCGCAGTAAAGAGATTAAAATTCCATCAATTTGGAAGGATGTCTAGTAACATCAATGAATTCCGTGTCATTGAACCTTTTCGTACGCCATTTCCAAAATCATGTAGGTCCTCGTTACGCCCTCGAAATTAACTCCTATGGTCCATCGCTTACCAAGAAAATGTTGTTTCTCTGTACCGTGGGTTTCCATTATCAACTTGTTTCAGTGTCAATTGTACCGCCAACCATCGTTCTTCAGAATTCAAATGTAAGTATGAAATCGTCCATCTGGATGATTCTGGGATTGGTTGGTCATCTTCCTGAATACCTTCTCCTTCAATACTCGAAATCCATGCGCAGATCCTTGCTACGCTAATGGTGTCGAAGCAAAGCCCTTCTCGCCTCGCTTTGGACCAAAGCAGCGCTATGGCCTGACGCCGAATTCGTCGATCACGACATTTTACTGCCGTGATAACGAGAGGGAGGATCGTTCCCATGTCGAGAGTGAAGCGAGATGTGTTACTCGGGTCATCCGGACTAGAAAGTAAAATTTGAGCTTTACATATAATCTCCGCAAAGAGATGGTTGTATTCGTCATATAGCATCTCTGTATGTGGGACACTTGATGCAACAAGTATCGTGGCAATGTTATAATAGATGCTCAGCATATGTGTCGCATCGGCAGAAATACTTCCAGTGTGTGCTTCTTCAGCATGGACGGATTGGAAAGCTTTTCGCCATCGAAGTAGCTGTGTGGTGTAGTGGGTATGAAGTCTGTTCCAATATGGCGTGGATAGTTGCTCTGGTTCAGTTTGCGACTTTATGAGATACTTTGTATGGAATTGACCAATAGCGGCCATCAGGAAATCCCATACTTCTCGAGCTTCTTGGACACTATCAAATTCGTCTGGAATATCCATGTCATCCTGAAGAAGATTTGGCACAGGGTATGGTGGTGGAATGAAAAGCCCTTGGACGTCAAGACGAGCAAATAGCCGGCCCAAATCGTCGACTAGACTATCCTGGATCTCAGACAACGAATCGTGCGACAATCGAGAACTTCCCCCTCTTCGAGCAATTCTCCAATCAGCTAACAATCGAGAACCGCCTCTGAGATGAGTTAAAGCACCTTCGTAGCTTCCCTGAAGAGATTCAAAGGTCATAAATAGTACGCACGCTGTGAGAGATGTTCTCAAATGTCTTCTGCCATCGGAGAGTATTATCCTTAACGAAGCAATGGCTCTACTGTATTCCCTTAGTGCGAAACGGTGGTGTTCATCTAGGTGATGATGATCAATTTGGGGAAATCCCGAAAGTGATAGTCGAGTTGGAGAAGATGTGATCTCCAAAGACTTCGCCAGAGCTCCCAAGGCAATAGTCGCATATCTGATGGGCGCATCTTGGTGACAGAGTTGAGGAACCTTTTCTGTCCAAAAGGTAGGATCAAAAGAACCACAGATCTCGGCTGCTGTTTTGTCACAAAATCTTTGAAAATACCGACGTTCGAGTTGATCACCGTGTATAGCGACCGAAGGGGTATACGACATCACAGACATCGGCCGTGGATGGATAGGTACAAGAGCGTTTGCATTTTGTTTGGAGACATCTTCAATCTGCTCTGGAGCGTATCCACCACACTCGCGACCGAGATTTTGACACCTAATACATTGTGGTTTGGTTTCGTCGCATTTAACACGTCGCTGTCTACATTGTATTAGTCAGTTACGGATCTGATGATTGTCCGATAAAGATTCCCTGGTGGAGAAATCCCAATGGAGTGGATCCGCAACTCTGACTCTACTTACTTGCATGTTGAACAACCAGTCTTCGATCTCGGACCGCTTTTTCTGAGTCCTTGACTTCTCGATGTTTGTTCTGGAGAACCTTGATCAGGGGCAGAAAAATTATTGAGAAATTTATAAACATTTGGATATGGAAGCCTCAGTGACATTGCTTTTGTCGTGAAGCCTGTACAATTTCCGCATTAATTTACCGACAGCCGGAATAATACTCGTCGGGGTTTCGTTAGGTTTTGTGTGGGTAGTATTGTAATTCTTCCTTCCACTCTTTGTGCTATCTGCTTCAAAGTTCAAAAGGTTTTGTTTCTTGGAGTCGTTTGAACGAGCTGGAAATTCTCGCAGTTATTGATAGGAGTCGGTCCGTTATTATTCACGAGAGTAACGACAAGGGAAATCTTGTCTTGGACTGGTGACTCGGCCAACAACAGACACGGTTTTATTGTTTTCATGGGCAATTTACATTAGCGGGATAATGCGCAGGCTTCTGGTCAAGGGTAAATGAAGGTGAACGGTATGAGAAGTTTCCCGACACCCAGATTCGTTATATTGTGCGGCATGTATCAGCAAGCTTCCAGTCACACTTAGCAAGCATTTATATATCTTAGTGGTCAATCCCCTCATCTTTCAGTGCAGCTTGCAGCTCTGTACCCCTCTCTCAAATTGAAGAAAACGGCGAACTGACTATCGAATCAGGACATGGCATAGCAAGGATTTACGCCACTAAATGACCAATGACAGATGCCAGGCAAGGTTTTGTACGGGCGTGCCAAGACTTGCATCCAGGAAGGTGGAAGATGGATAGGATCCAACACGTGAGAATGTGCCTCTCTAGAAGCTTTCATAGAGCTCTGAGCTTGGCTTTCTCAATGTATTGTTATGCGAATCGGCGAGTGAGGAAGGAGTGTGGATCAAAAGATAAATATTCATTGGCTATAACACGGTGCCGCCCCTCTTATACAGGAACTAGCGCTTATTAAGTCACTTTCTCACGGAGAACCTAACCGAAGAGCCGGAACATCAAAAATCCCCCAAATTGTGTGAGGATTCTGAAAAGCGTGATGTGCTTCAAAACAAGAATATTCGCGAATAATGCCTGTTTTAAACATCATGTGGCTTGAGCCAAAACAAGGTTCTTTAAACCTTACCGTCGAGCCCATTTGGAACACCACAATCCCCCACAGAAAGCTGAGTGAGATCTTGTCTACTCCATGGCGACGCCACACTCCAGTGGAGTCGACTTCCTCTCATCTTTAGGATTGTAATATGCACGTCGTGTGGTTTCCCCCTCCCCAAAGATACTCCAAGAATTTCCATTTGTTCCTGCGTTCTATCAAGGCCGGGAACCATGGAAGTCCTCGCCAAAATCAGCCTTACCCGTCATCAATTTCTTCATTGCAATTGTCATCATCACGTTACCGCGACATATAACATGTCAACCAAGGAAACAATGAAGCTTTAATTTGGATAATACGGGGTGAAGCCTTTTCTTCACGTCACCAAAATTCGGTTCACAAAGGGTGCAATGCGAAAGTCTCCATCGGAAGGAGCAATGCTTGGAAAACCATGCAGAGACTCAATTTTTCATGACCGCAATCTGTAGAAGATCTACAGGCGTCTTTGTATACTCTTTACTAAGAGATATGACTGGGCTTATAACTCGCTTCCATTCTCATGGAGTGCCTAAATGTGCTTGATGAGTGGCACAATCTCACTTAACTTACAAGAAAATCTTATCCCAAGATTTTTGACTAAGGCTAAATTTGCGACACTACATAATCTCGTTTGGTCTAGTGGACGATGAATTGATTATACATACAGGAAAGATGATGCAACGTGAGCTTCTAGAAGTAATCGCCCCTCGTTTGTGCATATCTCAGAGCAGACTGCGCGTATTTTAAGGATGCCATGCATGATGCATAATGGTATTCCAAATATCCACATTAATATCATGAACTTGATGCGATATAGAAGCCCTGAAATTCGAATTGGTGAACCACATCCTCGGGATCCAAAGTTCATTATTCAAGCACATTCATTATTCTACGATGCAGTAGCACCGTTTGTTGAATTCGAGGCACACAGTCTACATGCAGTGTTTGCTGCACAATTTTTCGAGATGTGCATTCATTCTTCAAGAGCCAATTGAAACCTCCCCCACCGTTTTGATAATTAGCAAATGTGAAGTTCAGCACTCTTTTTCTGTTCAATGTACTGCTGCATGTACTTGTACTACTCTGCATGTTGTACAAATACCATCGGGCCTTTTTAATAACGAATTGAAGGACTTGATCTCATGATTTTGATCTCCGATATACCTCACACACTCGCTTTATAATCCACTGAGCATGCTTTCTTTTTGCTCGGCCCTACTTTCGCAGACCGCATCCATCTCGTATCTGTCAAAGATATGATAGGGAAGACGTCCGCATTCTGAAGAAGCATAACAAGGCTTTGATATTGAAACGGGGTTACAAATTTTCCACCAATTAATGTTCGTCTCTCGGTTAAGCATGACGTTAATAAACCATATTGACTCTCAATAACTACAAATTTCAGCCACTGCTACCAAATTTATCAGCTCCGTTCCCAACTATTTTTTCTTTCAGGAGGAACTCTTCCACAAGCAGTAACGCCAGGAAATGATATTCATCTCCTCTTGCCTCTTTTCCCACCCTTTTGTGTAACCATACCATCATCATCTTGCAATCTCTTCTTCCCTCGTCGTCTTACAAATGCAAAAGTAGAGCATTGCTCGGCCGTCATATTCCTCTTGCTACACTCGTTACAAGGAGGACTTCCCAAACAATCAAATCTCTTTTTCTTTCGTTCGCATGGTGGGCATTTTGGTTTGTTTGCTTGCGTGGGGTCGGTTGAGGATGGGCGCCACACGCGCTCGGGGAGCGGAGTTCGGGGTTTACAGATGTTTGGGTCGCTTATCGATGGTACTAATGCTTTGGGAGTAGAGACATCTAAAGCAATTTCAAGCGCGTTCTCTGCTAATTTGCGAAGTTGCCAATCCCCGAGAGCTCTAAGGGGCTCTTCGTCGGAACACTCGTTGTCTGCATCGGATCCACTGTGATCTTGAGGTTCGTTATTGGGCAACTCGGGTAGCTGTGGTACCTCGGATGAACCGTCGGATCGTTCCGGGATGTCAATCTCGATGGGTTCAGGTGAGGGGCTCAGAAGTTGAGGAACTTCAATCTCAACGGGCTCAGGTAAATACTCCGAGAGTTGAGTGGTTTCGATCTCAAGGGAACTACCAGGAACTTCGGGCTCGGAAAGTTTTTTCTCGGGGATATCTGTGGCGGAAAGCTGCAAGTCAAGATCGGGCGAATTGGGAAGCTCATTCTCCTGAGGTTTATTTTCTGCAGAATCTATACCTGGAGTACGTTGAGTGACCTCGCTGCCGTAGGTTTCTTTGCATGGTGAGTTTTCGTCCGACCGCGCGTCAATCTCAGAAAGATCTTCCTCTGGAGTTTCGACTTCTGGAGTTACACTTCCTGAAGTTCCAGGAGCACTAATTTCACAACCCCCGGTGATTGGTGATTTCTCTTCGGCCCGTTCTTCAATAAGTTCTTCATGCTCAGAACTCTGAAGTTGTACGTTGGAAGCTTGGCTTTCGTTCTCCATTCTCGTGTTACAGAAGAGAAAGGCTGACGAATCAAGAAAGGTGGAAAGGGCAGCACGCGCGTATATAAGTATTACACAGCGTCAAAAGCGAGGTATCAATGAATGATTATGCGGTAGAACCAAGCAATCGCACCGAAAGGCAGCCTCAATGCACCTTTGACCTGTGGGTATGCTGTCGGCAACATATCCAATTTATTCTACCCATGCTATTATATTTCCTTGATGATTCTTGCGATTTCATTCTACTGGCGCACACCGGTGGTACGGGCGGGTAGACGCTTGGCGCTGGTAGCTTTTGGCAAGCGACTCTTTAACTTGTCAATGCAAACAATACCCTCCCTGAGCAAAGGTGCTTTGATGAGTATGGTTTGTGAGCGCAGAACAAGCATCTCAATTCGTTTACTAGCCGAGCCCATTGTGTGAACATGAAGCTTCTTGGCAGTATTTCATGATATCATACAAAGTACCAATCGTTCCACGGGTAATATCTTTGTTACTCTGATCTCATTACAACAATTACCAGAGAAACTGCATTACAAACATTCTACTTTTATCTTCTTCATCTCATAGCACTGGAGATTTCTATGTTATCAAAGTCTACATCTAATTGAAGCGGAGCAATGCACCTGTATTTTCAAGTATGATGCCACTTATTTCCTTCACACTGTAACTTTTTACTTCATCCAATCCTTCAGGTATGTATAGTCAGTAGCTGCTGAAGTGTAACACAACAATGAAAGACAATAAGATCTTGACCACAAAATTTCAACAACCTAAATGCCTTATACACTGCATATTATGACCTCAAAGATACCACCAGTATGTAACTTCCTATTGGTCTTCTTTTATCGTTACTGCCCGCCAAATCTTTTTTTCTTTCGTGACTATTGTTTTTATCGTCTCATTCATTGTCACTGTTGCTGCCACCTCTTTCAATGACTCTTCTTCATCTCGCTCGATTGCCCGTATTCATGATGTTCTACAAACCTCATGAGTTGGGTACGAGAAGCTTATGTCCGAATAATTTTTTTTCATTACAACACTCATCCACCCGTGTTCTTTCCTAGCCACCAGTTTATAAGTTCTTTATCGAAATCTTTCGGGATGACAATGGGGTTTTGGTATAGTGGTATTGAATCATCTCATCCTCCTATTTTGTGGAAGCAACCAACCGCAAAATTTTGTTTGTTTAGTCAGATATTGAGTTGAGATCGTTGAAAGGCCAGTACGGTACGGTACATGCATTAGATGGCATCAAAGTAGACAAACTTTGGTAATGACTTGAGAATGGAGAAAAGAAATATCTTAATTTAGGCCTCCATCTACTTACAATCCGCTTCTGTGCTACAATTCCGTAGTAATAAGTGGATGACCATCTCTGATACCTGATCTTATTCGCTTTAACATTCACCAGCTCATTATCCATTGGGGGCTTTACTGTTTGATGCCATGATTCGATCACTAAACCATCGAAACTATACTCCCCAATGACTCTTTTTGCGCTAGTCAAGTCTTAACTATG